CTTATAATTTTGTTCCCACATGGGATTTTTGATATTCTGACCTGTAACATCAAATAAACCCTGAGGTTTTTGGTTTTTTTTTGGTTTTGGTGTTTTTTGAACTACAGGCTGGTGGTCTGTCTGGGATATAGTTTATGTGTGAGGGAAAAATAAAATTTTATTTGCTGCCTGCAGACTAAATTCTTTTAAAGAAGAAAGTTTATTGATGTTGTAAGCAACATGACGCCTTCTTGGGATAAAGGATGACCTGGACGCCAGCCACCTCTCCCACCTTCCTCTCTTTTGTCACATTCTTTTAATTAAGAGATCTGCTGATTAAAGTTCATTAGCTGGCACAGTTCTTAGTTTTAGCAAAATAAGGTTATGTTTTAAGAAATCTAACAGGCTCAAGATGTCACATTAAATCAGAGCATCTTTCTTTTTTAAAGTTTCATCATTTAGGTAGCATATTAAACCCTTAACATTTCTTCAAATTATTCCCTTAACTATGACCCAACAATATGATAACTGCACCTTCCTCTGTTTCCTGATTTTATTAAATATATAATTCCTATTGGAGGAAGGTCATAATAGCTTACATGGTATTTCTATATCTCAAGCTTATCATGGGACATGGTGTTTCTATATCTCAAGCTTATCATGGGGTAATTTTGTTTCCAGAAAGAATATAACTTGATTCCCCCTGAATTCAGATTATTCATCCTGTCAGTCACCATAGTTTTGTGAATCACCTCAGGAAAACAAATGTGTCTCTCAGACCAGAAAATGAACTCCATAAAGATCCTAGTTTGCCATCATCAAGGACCCTAGGAGATCATTTTCAATCTTATGGGTTGTAAAGAGTTTCCTTTGTTTAAAAGCAACCTGGGAGTTAAAAAGCAAGGAAGTAGGAAGTTCCTAAAAATTATATGAGGTCTTAGAAATAAAGGTGTCATAGCTGTGTCTCCAAAGTGATGTTTAATAGGGCAGGGGTTTGCCACTGAGTAAATGAGCTACGGGAGGATTATAAACTGTGGTTTGTAAGCTTGAAATTTTTTACATTTTCATCTAGTTTCCCTGTTGTTCTAAGCACTTAATAAATTCTTTTGGAAATTCAGGCCTGCTTGAGCTACATTGAACTATTCGACAACAGCAGAATTTCTCCATACTTCTATTAGAGTTTGAAAGTGGAAGACAGCCCTGCATTTTAGACCTGCAGTAGCAGCAGTAACTCCGTTGAGAGCTCCTAAAAGGAAAATGACTTTGAAGAAGACACTTCCGGTGTCATGTGATTCAACCGTATCTGGAGATCACCTTCCGATGGTAAAATCTTACAGATTTTTTGTATGGACTAAGAAAGAAACAATTTTTTCATACCACCCTTCCCTAATGTGGTCACTGATGCTTCAACCCCTACCAAACAGAATTAATATTATGTTAATAATTATCTCAACTTGTTTTTTTCTTTTTTTCAAAATGTTTTTGATTTCTATCTATTCCAATAAGACTGTATGTTCTTCGATGTTAGGGATGTGACTTAAAATTTACTGTTTCTCACAAGGATTATCACATATAGTGTAATATACACAGTCAACATTTATTTTATTATTATTATTATTATTATTATTGAGACTGAGGCTCACTCTGTTGTCCAGGCTGGAGTGCAGTGGCATGATCTCAGTTCACTGCAACCTCCACTTCCCAATTAAAGTGATTTCCCTGCCTCAGTCTCCCAGGTAGCTGGGATTACAGGCACCCAACACCATGCCCAGCTTAGTCAATCTTTTTTAAAGGTAGACTGTAATCTAGATTGTTAAAAACTATTATTAATTTTTAATTTAATTGACTAAGTTATCATATTTGACAAATTACTGATCTTTGTCCTCATTTCTTTTGTGAAATATACCTAAATGTCATATTGTGCATTATTATCGGATTCAAATAGCTGTAATGGAAAGACACAGAACAAGGAAACTTAAGTCAAAAGACCAGTTTCAGTCTAGGCTTGGCCTCTTACAAGTAACGTAATCCAAGTCCTGGAGCCTCCTGTAAGTCTTCATTTAAGTACTAAATAGCAAAATAAAATATTCCTCTTAGAGTAGTGGCAATTCATTGAAACCACATATGTGAAGGTGCTTTATTATTTACAGTAGCAGAAGTAGTAGCAGTGACATCTATTAGCAACTAGAAAAGCGCTTTCATACATTTACCTGGAGAAGATGTTCTTTAATGGGAGCATTAAAAGCATTCCACGTTAAAAACTAAACTTCATAAAAGGAAGTAATATAGCATGTCTTAGCTGTATCTTATAATAATGTTAACTGCAGTATCCATGGTTACATTCACTGATATTAAATTCCTTATAGAAGTTTATCCTAAGGAGGGTCCCTAGTATTTCAAATAGAAGAAACGAAATAGTAATAGGGAAAATGGAATGGTTGATTTTGGCAATTTGAAACGAAGTAATTTTCCTTCTTCCTTTAAGAGAATATTGCCATTCAATACTCTCGTAAAAGAAATACATCATTCATGTATTTGATAATAAATAAGTGAAAAAGCCAATAATAATTTTTTTAAAGAAACACTAAGACTGCTCATGTCGTAGCTTCTCCAATGGATCAATTCTATTCAACAGAGTGTGTCAGGTTTTCAGCCTACTGTTCAAAAGCCAATAATGTGCAATCCCTAAAAAGCATCATCTATGCTTCCGACAAAGCTTCCTTTCTTAAACTAAAACTGAATCTGGAAAGCAGTGCTAATATGTTTCAAATCTGGCTGCTTCACACCACAAAATCTACTGTGCTTTTCAAGATGATCACTTCCAAATATGCAAACAGCTGAAATCCTCTGCATACTTTTACTTAACCTACACTCTGCTTCAAATGCTGTTGTTTATAAAGCAATAATGAAAATAACAAGTCTATAAAGTTGTGCTTACTGGCAGGGGTTTTAAGCTCCCAGGTCTTCAAACTTGTAGCTTAAGCAATGATTTATATCTAGAGGAATTTTTTAAAAATGGAAGAAAAAAAAGAAGAGAAAAGGAGGGATCAATCTCTAACTTTATCTCTCTGTGTGTCTATATGTGTATCTGTGTGTCTAAGTATATATTAGTTATAAGAAAATACTGGGGGAAATAAGAAGATTCAGAAAAAAAGAAGCTCAAAGAACTTTGGCCAGGAAACCACTTAGCTATAGCAAAACAACCATGTGGTATCTACAAATATGCTGAAATCCCTATAGTGACACCAAATCAGGGTACAATTTAGAGAGTGGAAATTCCACATTTTTTACGTACATGGGAGGGAATTGTGGGTGTTATCCTGCTTGGAAGTGGGTTAAGGTACCTCTTGAAAATCTGCAAACAGTTTTAGTTTAGGTTACATGTTTATTTGGTATATCTGGAGGAGAGAGGTTAAGGAGGATTAGCAGAAAGAGCAAAATTTCTTAAGCATCTTTTGACACTACCAATTCATTAAAGAATCTTCTTCTAAAGGTAAATGGGCTGAAAACAGATGGACTGAGTGACCTCGTGCATTTTAGTGATATTTTCATTCTTGGGCCTTGCAGCCAACACACCAGCTTTTTATGCTACATATTTTCTTCATCAACAGAAGGGTATAAGCACTACCATAAAAATGTTATATTTTAAGTAAAAATGTAGATGTTTCCTATTAACATGAAGGTATGAAAAATAAGAGCTTGGAAAAGTATAATTATCATAACAGAATCAATTCCCTCTCCATCCCAAAAATCTTCAGTGCCATTTCATTTGACGTGACTATGTGGTATGTAACAGCAGAATAGCAGAAGAACTCATCATCAAGTTCAAGAGGAAAACAATCTCAAACTATCAGTCGCTTTTTGCTTCTTTCTTTGGCATTTGTTACTGAACTTTAGGGTTGAAGCCCTCTAGGATCTCTTACCCTAAAATCCCTTAGAGTTTATTCTAGGTGTTGGAGGGGGCAGTGGCAGAGGAAGAAGACTGAATTCTTCAGTCTTAACAAAAGAATATAGATCATGTGTACATAGAGAGCTCTTCATAAATTCCAAATAAAGCAAATATCCTATGAAGTAACCTGATTTCTTGAAAGATATGAGAGAGCAATAGTATTTTTGTCTTTGTGAGATCTACCTGAGTGATCATGGGAACTTACAAGTGATTCCATTCTGCTGATTAAGCCTTGGGCCCCCAGCCAATCAAGAGCAGAACCAGAAATGACTTCCTCAGGAGGAAGACCACAACCCAGGTGTATTCAGTTAAAATCAACATTACTTGAATGTTTAATTTAGGAGAGTTCCTAGTCTAGCACTGGGAGGGAATCAATCACATATCCTGAATAAACAGGAGAAACAAGAAAATTAAAGAGCTTCAATGAGGAAGGAAAAAAATGACATCCAGTCCAAAAAATATACGATACAATCAGAATATGCTCAGTAGAAAGTTCTTACTTGCTCTGGATACACTGAGATAAAGAGGTTGGTTTCTTTCATTTATCAGGCAGACTCCAGTTACAGTGGAGCTGATAGCCAACCTGGCCTTTGAATGCAGAGGATTTTGATGGGAAAATGTTTTAGAAAGTGGGATTCCATAAGAGGCCCAGAGATAGAGAAGTATATTTGGGAAGAAGCAAATATTTGGGAATGTGAGAGGGTTACTGTAGTGCCTTGAGCTCTTTAGAATCAATACAGGTCTGTCCTCTACCCCTGTAAGAATCTGGAACATTGCTTCTTAAATTGGAGTCCAAAAATATATTTTCAGCAATCTCCAGCTCTCTGAGTTTTATTTTTTAATTAAAGTTTCTATTTCTGTGATTATATGTGGGGTGAAGAAAACATTCTAAAAATTAGATTATAAAGATGGTTGCAGAATTTTGTAAACATGATAAAAACCACTGACTTGGGCATTTTAAGTAGATGAACATTATGGAAACTGGCAAAGATTATTTTACCCATTTTAAAGAGGCAAATATATTTTTAAATAATGAAATAAGAATTTCATTTATTTATTTATTTTTAATTTTCAGGGGAAAGCAGAAACGCAGTTCCCCACTACCACAAATTACGCAGTCGAATTTCCCACCTTTGGGGAAATGGCAGGGGTCAGCACATCTGTCGTGCAATGGACAAGACTCACACTGGGAAAACCACCTTCGTGATTGTGGTATCTCCACTGCCAGGTAAGTATAATGAAATAAGATCTTTATTACATAACTCAAAGTTATTATGCTATGGTCTGCTGATTACCATGAGACTCTTCTCTATATTTTAAAAGATGCCCAAGATTTCCTTTAAAGGATAAGGTAGTTTAGTCCTGGGCTATACAGGACTAAACTACATCCTACTATATAGGATGGAGATAAAGAAATGAAAACTACAGATATTAAAAGAATATATAGATACTAAAAGAGATTGTCTTTTAACTTGTCTCTATGGCAGTAGATACAATTTGGTTTACAAATTTAAAATTTCTTTGTTAATTTATAATATTTAACAATTATAGATGTGAATTAATATACATGTGGCATGCTTCAGCTTCTCTATCCCTGATTAGATTGTGACTATTTTTCTGAGCAGAATGCCAACAGTTTGAAGTTAACTACTTTTTGATCAAGATTAGTTAATTACTTTTACTTAGATTCTATCAATCTTTACTTTGGATTTTGCAATAATTAAAAGTATCATACAAACTTTAAAAGAAAGCTGAAGGTTTAAAGAACTACATTCTTTGTAAACATTTGTAAGAAACAAACTTACTGACATGGCTCATTTCCTTCTAAAGGCAAAAGTGAACATGCTCTTCATAGTTTTTAAGTTTAATATGTGACTGAGACAATTAGAAGAATCCCAGAAGGAGAACATCAGGAAAATGCAAAAAGCCAAGGGTTTCAAGGCAACTTAGAAAGATCAACCCTTTGTATAGGGTAGAATTTATTTATTTCACAAATTATAAAATATTAAACAAAAAAATTAACAGAAATATACTTTTCATATCAAGAAATTAAATATAAGCAAGTATCTAAACCAAAGGGACAGATGAGTCACAGACTGACCCAGTGACAGGCTGGAGCGTGAAATGAGAGCTTGTCCAACAGCTTGCCTGAGAAGAAGCCAAGGGACCAGCCAGTAAACCAGGAACGAAATATAGATGGCGGCATGTGTCACTTGGCACAGTGCATGGTGACTCTGCTCCTGCCAAATGTGCAGCAGGGACAGTCACAGCAGCTTAGCTGTGTTTTAGGACCTAATCAAGGCATAAACCACAACTGCTGCTGTTGGCGGTTGACAAAGAAAACCAAACTGCTTTTCTAATTGGGAAGAGGAAAATGTGGGCAAAGAGAACAACCAACCAAATCTTATTGGGAGAAACGGAGTGTGACTAGGTTCCGTCACAAAGTTAAGCAAGGGCACATGTTTCACCAAATCTTGAAAGAGAATCATTGGAATGGATTAGGAGACACCTTATGATCATGTTGGCCAATACGTTCTTACAAAACTGATGCTCAGCATGATTTTCTTTCATCCCTGCCTGAAGACAGATAATAAAGCCATATATAGCAGACAGATTTCCATGGCTTAAACATCTATTTGTGAGCATAGTACTATGAATTGCTTGTTTTGTCTGTTTCATGTTCTTTCCGCAGAGCTGATGATCCTGAATAATACAAGATAGTGGCTTACAAAAGATTTTAAATTGTGCCTGACATTTTTTCCTTTCAATTGGCGATTTCCTAAGTCCTTTTTTAGAGTATAAAAGTAATAGATACTCATCGTTAAAAAGTAGGGAATTTAGAAAAGCAGAATGAAGATGACATAAATTTCCTATACTTTTATATCAAGGCAGCTATAACAACTGTGACAATTTTATGGATATCTTTGAAATCGAATGGAGCATAGCATATCAACAGCTTTACATCCTGATATTTTCATTTAACATTCAAATTAGGGCATCTTTTATATTATTTTTAAATCTTCAAAAATAATTAAGAATATATTCTAATGTATAAATTCACAATTAAACAAGTTTTCAACATATATTGTTTTCTCTCCCTTTTTGGCTGCATTTATGTTTTTTTTTTCAAACATATTCATTAAAGTTAAAATCCTAGCTCAAGCCATACAATCATTCCTAAAATAATAATTTTCAAATGACTTTCCGAAAAGACTTTACCAGTGTATATTCTAATTGACAATATATGGATGCTCGCCATGTGAGAGGTAGTTTTATTTCTCTCTCCACCACTTAACTACTTCTCAGGTTTTGGATAGTGGAATTGTGAATTTTTAGAATCAGTTCATTATTAATTTATTAATATTATTTACATTACATGCTACCTCCTAATTATTTTTAAAATCTAAAACCCATTTTAATCATCAAAGATTCTATAAATAGGATTCACAACGAGGTGGCTGCAACTCCCATTTCTTAATTTTGATTAATTACTAAGTCAGTAATATATTTGACTATGTTTTCTTTTTGGTGAAAAGTAACATTTTTGAATGGTATCTTTTCTCAAACTTTAAATACATTAGAAAATGTTTATGTTGCTCTCATACAAATATTTAACTGAGCGTGGAGTTACTTTTCCCTAAAGCTTTGCCACGTTATTCCATTATTTTCTGAGTTCTATGTCTTTGTTGGTGATTTGCTTTTCTTCCTGAATATTTTCAGAATTTACAAAGTCTACATCATAAAGCATTTAACATTTTAACAAAAATTAAAGATATATATTGCTAAATTATGATGCTTTTATACACTAGAATACTATATCCCCGAAAAATTACAATTTTGAAGATTTAAAAATAACATGTGAAATGCTCCTAACTAAATGCCAAATGAAAAAAATCAGGATATAAAATTGAATCTATAATGTCCTAAAAATGTTAAATTAAGATGTAACCTTAAAAAAATGGGTATTCACATTTTTCAGATATTTGATGACTCAGTTTTATCTATAAGTTTAGTTTGTCTATTAATCTCAGAAATTTTTCTTATATTCATTTCAGCTTTTTTCTCCCCAGTTTGTAGGTAGAACTTCCAATCTTTACTTTCCATTCTTCTTCCCTTTCAATTTTTGAGTTTACAGTTTGCTATGTGTAATTTTTGCACTAGTTCACTGAATTACTGGAAACTGTGGTTTTGGAATGGACATAGAAAATGAGATACTAATAACACAGAAATTAGAATTCTGAAGTAGAGTTTTGAAATGACCCTAAATATTGCAGAAAGTAGGCCCTGTTCATTTACATTATGGTAATTGATGTATGGTGGTGTGGATTTTGTGTGAGTCAGCCCGAGTCTCATAATACATATGTGTGCACATGAGTGATTTTTTTGTAGTGGAGTGGGAAGGGAGGAGGTAAATTCTTAATTTTCTCTGCTTTGCTCAGTTCTACTGTTTCTAAGGTCAAAGAATGGTTTGACAGTATACTGTATTTTGTATGTGGTGGAAATTACGTGAAGTATAGAAAATGGCTAACTGGTATTTTAACATTTGGTGCTGCATTATTTCTCATACACCCATTTCTTCTAAATCCCTCTTAGCATGTCTTAGATAATTTTCGTGATTATTTCAATGAAATAATTGTATAAAGGCAAATCAGTCACCATTGTTATTATATCATAATGTAAAGTCTTTTGCTTATTTTTCTAAAATGTATGGAAGGATCCTAGAAGTTTCACAAGCTACAGTATTATAAAAGTTTAGAAAATATATGAATAAAGAAGAGCATTAAACCAGGGCTTTTTCCAGTTAAATGGGAGCCCTAGTCATTGAATGTAGAATAGGGTGGTTTAAGAAGCTTTATTTAGAGGTTGGAAAATAGGCAGGAGGCTGGTCTTGTCTGGCAAAACATAGACCTCAAATTAATCGAAGTATATATATACAAGGGTGGAAGGGGCCCCTCCCCTTCACTGGGCACTCCACTTTCCTGTTGCCTTGTGAAGAAGGTGCTTTGCTTCCTCTTCACCTTCGGCCATGATCGTAAGTTTCCTGAGACCTCCCCAGCCATGCTGAACTGTAAGTCAATTAAACCTCTTTCCTTTATAAATTACCCAGTCTCAGGCAGTTTATAGCAGTGTGAAAATGGACTAACACAATCTTAAATACCCATCTTCGTTGTCTTCTCCTGAACTCTTCAAATGTGTTACTTACATCTTTATTCAAGCTACCACCATACCACCCAACCCATGGCTCTATTATTCCACTCTCCTACTGTATTGCTATTATTTTCTCCTATTTATCTTCCCTATTGGAATATGAGAAAAAAGACACTTTTATCTTACTTTCATTTGCATCTAAGAAAAGTTCCTAGTTCATTAAAGGTAATGGATGAAAAAGTAGGAAATCAATGAACAGATAGATGAATGAATGATATTAATTAATTTTTCTGAGCCCCAGTTTTCTCATCTGTAAAATGTGAATAATACTGTGTATATTTGCTTTGAGAATTAAATGAACCAACATATAAATTGCCTATATTGTGTCTGACCCATTTGTTTCCCCTCTTCCTTCATTCATAAGAAATGATCTTAAATTTTAAGACCTTTTTTCCTCTCTTTGACCTAACAACTAAAAGTGTGAGTGTGAAGAGTCACATAATTTCTCTTAGCAGGTGCTGATATTATGGTGACATTTTTGCAATGCTGATTTATCTAAGCATTGTGATTGTTAAAAGCCCAAAGAATGCCCTATAGTGGAATTAGATAAGCTAAAAAGAACTAAAGGCAATAGGAAAGATGATATTTCAGTAAAGTTGTATTTTAGTTTGATTAAAGTCTATTAGATGCAAGTAATTTTAGAGAACTTGGGTGTTTCAAATACCAATAAGATATTAAAAAGTGACTTTCATTCTTCCTGGTAAAGACATTCTATTTTCAAAGAAAATAGAAAAGGACATTGTTTAATGCTGTACATTAAATTTCATTTCCCACTACATAATTATTAAAAGATAAGTAGCTCTTGCATTATTAATAATAATAAATAAGATGGCAATTAAATAACTATCATTAATGACTTATTCATTAATATGTTAGTAGTTGCCTGCTTTATCATGAAGACAAGTTAATGTGATAGTAGAAAAGGCCAGGCACAGTGGCTCACACCTGTAATCCTAGCACTTTGGGAGGCCAAGGTGGGTGGATCACCTGAGGTCAGGAGTTTGAGACCACCCTGGCCAACATGGGGA